TTCATTAACCAATCTGATTGTCTTATTCAATAAGTAAGTTATAATCATGGTCAGGGCAGCAATCACCGCAAAGATTTGATGGTGCATACATGTGAAGTTTGAGCTAAATAATTCAGCGCGCCTTATTCAACGATTCTTACATATATCCCACCGACTCAAACAGTACCTAAGTGTGCTGCAGATAACATGCAGATTAACGCGGATTACGATTCGAGTGGGATGACTCCGTTCATGTGACTTTGCCTCACGACGCGTGTATATTCTATATTCCGATTTGACTAGGGTGCTCGATATTATAGGACCTGCACTTTGAATTATTGCTGCAATTATAGTCAACACCAAGAACAACTATGTCGATGGCCCATAGGCCATATCTACTATTGCATGACAAGCGCCTGATAATATCATGTGTTTTCACTAAGAACTAAAGTCCTGTTTGATAGGAAGCATTAAAAATGAGAGATAGGAATTAGATTGTAATTGAGAAAAATCATTAAAACAGTATTTAACATAAGTAATTGTTTCTTATATAAGATTAGGCAAACCCATAGAGGTGAGATTGGGAAACATTACCTTCCCTCATAGTATTCTCCAATCCCACAAACATGAGTTTGTCTAATCTCATATAACAAGTAATCTCTCATACTAAATACTTTTTTTAATAGATTTTCTCAATCTCAGTTTTAATCTGTATCTCTCATTTTTAATTCTTCGTACCAAACGGGACTTTAAGTACCTTCAACGCACATTAATGAATCTGAAGGATGTATATTAGTTATTTAGCTCTTATATTAAGAATAGAGAGAATAATTAAAAAGAATGGCGAACATGTCAAAACTTAATTAGACCGTCGTCCATGGAGTGATTGTACATTACCTGCAACCCAACAAACACAGTCTCCATCAAGCTTGGGTGAGTATTTTGTCAAATACTAATCGGGATAATCACAGTCTCTTTCCACGCGATTTCATATCTCAGTTTGAGATTAATTATTTTAGAGAGAGACCGAGACAAGAGCCGTTAATGTCGCGTCCAACGCATCTGCAGGCATCCAAACCATGTTTATTTCCCCTTCCCGGTCATTTCATTTCAAATTATCGAAATCTAACATAAGATGGAAACCTCCTCTATAGAATGGGAGTAGGGAGAGCTTCAAAATTTAGGGCGAAGTCTCATAATGAAACTCTTTCAGGATCTGTTCACATGTACAAATTAATAGGGGGAAAAAAAACAAATCGTTACTTGTCAGAATCGAGTGTATATAACGTCTCTTTCCCTCCTCTCCTGGACACTATAAACTATACAACACACATATACTTGCCTTAACTCCATAATATCATGTCTGTTATCATACTCTTTCACTGCCTTTTGCTGCGAAAAGGTGAAGGGACCAAAATACGAACTCGTGGGAAAGGAATTTCACCCACAGGAACTAATTGAGTGGGAGGGATTAATTAATTGAACTGGGGTGTGCAATGAAATGAATTGATGGACAAATTGCAGCCACACCTTTTCGTCTCTAGGAGACTTTTGGGTTTCGACTTGTAATTATTCATCGAAAGCTCATCACGGGACAGGTGATCCGGCTTGTCCGACCCGCCTTCAAAATGGGTCTAACACGTGAACGACCCCAATTACCGAACCGTTTATCCTCGTCCGTTGTCGGTTGATGAAAAGAAGACGACATGCAGACGCGGGATAGCTTGGATATCTGATGTGTGTTTGGAGCCAATGTGCGATGCAGACAGCGGATTAGAATCAATATTTCACTTTCTTCCATGACTGGTTAGTGGTTACGTTCAAGGTTTAGGTAAAGACTACTGGCCGGGAATGAGAGACGGATGAAAGGTCCAAAATATCCTTCACTTTTTGTTAAATCATAATGTTCGGCCACTCCTTTTTCCACTCTCTCTAAGTATCTTAAATCTTATCGTTTTAAGGACATGTTAAAGGGAGTCATTAACAAAATGAACGGCAAGTTTTTTTTTTTTACTCCTCCGGTCTTTAATATAAGACCTATTTAACTAATTTGATTAGATTAAAAAATTTAGGTAAATTAGTTAATTATAAGAAATGTGACACATTTTTTCTAAAATATCATAATCATTTTTCTTAATACCCATTTTCCTCTTCTACTTGATTATGATTGAGGGAGTATGCATAAGGGTAATTTAGAGAAAATTGATAAATATAAAAAATGAATCTTATATTTAAGATTAAAATTAACTCAATAATTGAGTCCTATATTAAGGACCAGATGAGTATTTAGAATTTGGGACCTCCAAATTACACTTCTTTTTTTTGACCAGACTCCAAATTACACTTGATGGGCTTACCACGAAGACCAAAGTTATTGATGCTGAGTTTTCGGCCCTTATCTTGGAGCTGTTGGCCGAAAAACGACCAACGAAAAAGAAAGAAATACAGACCTTGGCGCTAACTGATACTGGATATAGACACACACACACACACACACACACACCGAACTTGGAAATCAATATCAGTAATATTTATATTGCTGGCAAAAACAAAACAAAAACAAAAAGTAATATTTAATTAATAATTTATAAAATATAAAATATAGGATTAGGAGGCCGCACGCGAGGCGATGGGGCGCGAGTTGGCGATCAATAAGGCAGCACGGCACGCAGTTCGCAGATACGTTGATGGGCCTTTCCTTTTGGGCCCTGCAAGAAAAAGGCAATAGTCATATTTCGTCGTTAACTTCACTAGCTAGTAAGAGAAATCTCATCGGTAATTACATAACTTTTTTTTTTTTTTTGCAGCGAACATGGCCATAACCATGATCTGTGCATACATGGTGGCCTATATCTAGATGATAGAAACTGTTCCAATGAAAAGATTCGATTTCGAAAGTTCAATTTTTGTATTAAAACTAGACGGCTAATTACGAGCTTCATCCAAATCCAGCAAGTTACAGCTCCAACCCAAAGTGATTGCTGAAGCACACTGTCAGCGTATTAGACCAATTCCCAGAAAACACCAATCAATATATAATTATTTAAATTAATTACTCCGTCACAGTCACTCTCAAAATGTTTTGGTCTAGGAAATGTGTCGTGCCTTCTAAGAAAAAGCATTAACGTAAGGAAAAATTTTCATGGACATGTACGTTTGTGGCCAGAGGCTGCACACCCAGCAAATAATAAAACTATTACTATAATATAATTAAGATTGAGTGTTTAATAATCTCATCACATTCCTCCGCTCGATTGATACGTCGTCATAACAGCACAGGGGCACCACTAATAATTATGTGCTTTAATGTGAACATGCTTGTCATGTAATCATATCACTCCACCACTAATTAACCAAGAGTTTGAATGCTTATTTCAGGCGTTATAAACCATATCTAATTTATAATTTCAGCGACGTAAGAATTGTTTAGTAATGTGCGGCACAGCGAGGAAGGATTAGGTGGTGAAATTAAGATATCTCCCTTTTAAAATGCGGAGGGCGTAATATAAAGGAGAGGAAACCTAACCACGTCTTAATTTTCTCTGTTACTTTGATGTCAACCAATGGAACTATTAAAGCACCTTTGACAAAAGGCTTATATATATTTATTTATTTATATTATAGAGAGAGGTACGTGTAGTAGATATATATAATGGCATAATCCCAGTGGTGCATAGACGTGTAGGGTATCAGCTTCAGCGAGAAGACTTTGTAATTTAACGACCTGTTTTTCTGGAGGCTAATTAACCAGTCAACTTCTTGATGGAAAAAGAATCAAATCTCCAACCACTCATGATAGAAATAAGTACTAATCCTCTTTCTTCAACTCATTCAAAATATTTCAAAACTTGCAACAACAAAAGAATATTGGAACTGTTGGTATTTCCAGCTAATATTGTCATATAAATCCGTCCACAATCATTTCAAGCTTCCTTCTTTTCTCCAATCGAAGGTCCCGTTACTCGCGATTTTAATTTTTTTTCTTTTGGGGGGGGGGGGGGTCGCGCAGAATATGGGGATAATGCTGCTGTAAGTCGGGATATATAGATATTTGGCTTTGTGTGGTTCACTCTTCTGCTCTTGAATAATAGTATAGCTCAATTAAATCATTAATGGGGTTGCATTGCAGATAAATCTCTCCTTCAAAATATGGAACGAGAGGAGGGAAAGCTTTTTGCAAGAAACAATTCCTTCCAGTAGTAGGATTCTGATTCTGAATAACCAAACATTAATTAAGCATATATATAGGGCGATCACAAACTCTTAGATATCCCAGTATATAAATATATATATCTATAGACTGCATAGATATTCTAACTTTGGGATAAATTATTTTTATTCCAGCTAGCCAGTAGCCATTATCTTCTATATGAGCAATGACTCTCATGACTTTTAAGTATTTCACATATACATATGAAACAGATTTTGATTTGGAATATATACATTATTAAGATCAGGTTCAACTCAAAAAGGCCTATGTATAATACACCATCGTGGTCCTTTGATTGCATATGACTATGTATTCTGATTTTTGTATTTCGATTATTTTTGTTGTTTCAGACCACATGCATATTCAGTTCAGGCTTGAGACCTTTATTTTTTAAAATCATAGACTTCTTCAATATGCTTTCCCCCCTCCCCGGGGTTTCATTTACGAGAAAATTCAGCCTTCAATCCACTTCGGCTTGCTGAAAGTTCACAATGACTAGAAAATTAAATGAAAGTGAAGGATGCCTCGCTCTTTACATTATTAAATTGTAATTCTCTGTTTGTGAAACTATTATTCCTGGATAGTTTGTTAACCATTATACAGATCCCCTCTGCAATATTTTTAACCTTCATGTAATTATATTCCCTGCTCATCCTAGGCAGTTTTATCCCGATCCTAGAAATGATCTGCAATGAAATGTCAGGAGTCTAGGCTACGCGATGAAATTAACAAAGACGGGAGAAAAAGTAAGAAGCAGGGAAAGCCAAATTTCAACTGGAAGACGCACTATTAAAATGATAATGACTTTTAAACTAACTCGATGAATTGTCCGAAAGCTGTATGTACAAAAACATGCATTAATATGCTCACATATACATGCATTAGTATGCTCACATATATATAGATGAATATATATATGTATGTACATAAAGAGAGAGACTTTAAAGTCTATATATGCAAGTATTGCGATAAGCAAACAATGAAGGCATACGTACGTACGTACTAGTTAACACACAGCATAATGCATATCTCAGATCCAGAAACGAAATACTAAGATAGCTCATGCGTAATAGGGTCCTCGAAAAATAGTTCAGACCAATAAGACGAGGAAATTCCTCCATAGCTAGAAGAGCTGCTGGTGGCATCTCCAACCAGAGGGGGCATAGATGGCAATATTGATGAAGATTCAAAATCAGGTGTCGTATGATCCCCTTGACTAATCATTGTAAAGTTTGTACCTTGACCCTGATCACTATTCAAACATGATTGGGAGCGGAAAGGGACTTGTGGTGGGTCTGGCATGTGAGATAACATGGTGGGGTGATGGTGGAGTGGTTGAGAAGCTAATGAGCCTGGATTATTCAACTGTGGGTAGTTCATACCTGGGTTCTCTTTCAAATCAGCCATTGAATTTAACAAATTGATAGTATCCATGCTTGTGGTGAAGCCATTTTGGTCGCAGGAGTTGGTGGTGTTCAAGGAAGTCGTGGGTTGGAGTAAGGAGTTTAAATATTGAAGCTTTGCCAACTGAACTGCCTCTGCTTGAAGTTTCACAGCCTGATCATCCCAAGCAGGAAGGTGGTGGTGATCCATAATGTCTGTCATGTTGACCAGAGCTAGCAGATACGGCAAGGTGGAAACAAGATCTGTTCGTGGCTGGTGGGTCATTGGATCAAAACCCATCTGAATTAACTTCTTCTTTAGATGTGTGTTCCAGAAATTCTTGATCTCGTTATCAGTCCTGCCCGGAAGATGGGATGCAATTGCCGACCATCTATATCAGAGGAAGCAAACGTATATAAGAGCATATATATGTCATAACAATTCAAATTTGAGCATAAAATAAAATTCACAGATAGATACTGAAGCAACATTGGAATGCACGAACAGATAAAAGGAAAGTCTTGGGTCATAATGTAGATCAAATTAAAGGTAAAATAAGAAGGAAGGGAAAACTTGGAAGTACTTGTTTCCAAGGATGGAATGGAGATGCAGTATGGTTTGCTCTTCTTCTTCAGAAAAATTGCCTCTCTTGATGTCAGGCCGTAAATAATTGGTCCACCTTAGCCTACAGCTTTTTCCACATCTATTCAGACCTGCAAATTTTTGTTCAGAGGAGGAAATGAGGGAGCGCTAAAAAGAGAGATGCAGAGAGATTTAGTTTAATTTGGATCAATACGTACACACACACACACACACACATATAACTAAGTGAGACAGACCTGCTAGCTTGGGAAGAGCTCTCCAACTTCCATGGCCATGTTTCTGAATGTACTGAACAAGCTTCTCATCTTCCTCCGGAGTCCATGGTCCTTTCTTGAGGCCATTCTCATCGCAGCAAGGGGATCTTCCCATTCTGTATATAGCTAGATTATCTCTCTCTAACTATTTACCACCAAATTAAACAAGGGGCTGGGGCGAACTATTTATATCCAATTACCTTCCTGCTTGCTTCTTGCCGTACGTCAATGACCTGCCTTTCAAAGTTATTTTATTTATTAAAGATATTAGGAAACTTCCATATGATTAATAAAGTACTGCGCAGTTTCACGCCTCCACAGCAATTGACAAGTATACCCATGGAAGCATTCATACAATTTCTTTGATAGAATAAATGAAATCACAAATATTTTGAGAAATATGCACATATTTTTTTTGGACAACACAAACTTTAATTTAGATCACATATGTAATCCCCCGTTCACTAAACATACAAACGAAAAACCCGACTCAACTAACGACTCTTTCCACTATAATTCCAATTTTTTGTTTCCTACATTAATACACATATATGATTACCACGATAAAAAAAAAAAAAAGATCCAAGTTAATAGTTGAAAACGCACCTAATGCTAGCATAAAAAAATGGTACAAAAATGATTTGCATATATAAAGCACGATAGACTCGCCAGCAGTCTGATCGTTCAATTTTCGTGATTTCTGATGCGAATCATGTGATGATCTAGCCATGCAAAATAAACTGAACAAATTGGTAATTGCAAGATGAATTTTTTATTAATCTAGCAATAAAGTATCAGTAACAGGACGAAGCTTTCACATCAGATTACGTAACACGTGGCGAATGAGCGCTTGTCGGCAGAACTTCTTCCATGCACGCAACGAGGCTGTTTTGTCCCATTCGTCATAATTTGCATGGCCTCGAATGACTCATTACGTCCTCTCTTCTTGGATTTCCTGCGGCCTTATTACATATTTTGGCAATTATTCATATTTAGGAGAATACCACGAAATTATTCGTATACAAGGGTATCGTAGGTCAACATGCATTCACACGAAGCATCTTACAAAAAATAAATTAATGCACGTAATTCAGACATTCACTTTAATTTTAAAATTAAATACTCAATTCACAATAATATATATAATTAATATATTTTAAGTATTTGATTATGCCAATGCATTTAATTAATGTACAAACAAATATTCCTTGCCAGTCATATACCTAGCTATTTTTTTGTTTGAATTGCTCCACTAATCTATCAACCTACCTATATATGTATATATACAGACGAAGATACATATATAGGGGGATGTGATATATATACATGCGTGCGTATTGTTTGTATCCGCATGTGCTGGTTACTCGAGGAGTAAATATATAACTGAATATCCAAACAGGTAAACTAAAAGATCTAAGGGAAGTCGTTGTAGATGAATAAAGTGCAGAGAGAGAAGGGTGGAGGTTAAAAAGTCAGAGGAAAGCCGAGGTAGTAGCTACTGCATAGTAGATCGATATTGGTTGATTTCACATTGTCTCTGAAAAAGACACAGAGGGATGTGACAGTTTTTGACTCGGAGGGTGGTGCAGTTGGAGACGTGAAGGAGAATTTGGTGCAGCAAACGCTCACATACAATATTTTCTTTTTCGTTATGACCTTTAAGACATTCTTCGCATGCACGGTTGAGAAAACATTGAACCTTTTCAATGGCATTTGTTGGTGTCTTGTCCTCAAGTTCCTTGTTCTCTTCCATGTCTTCTCTGCCATGGTATGGAATATGGATCCTCTTTCTTTTTAAATCAAATTCAAAAGCAGCATATATAAAATTAAACCAAAAAGGTTGTTGCTTGTTACAAGCCAAGTGTTTTATAAATTGTTGGATATTCTCGCTAGCAAAAGATCAAGTGAGACCCGAGTTAATTTATTCAATTAATGACAATAGCCAAGTTTCAATTAAACTAGCTAGCGGAAACATATTTATGTTTACATTTGGAACCCATCCTATCTTGCTTCACGGATAAGCTACGCATTTTCAAACCTAAAGTTTGATTTGATTGTTTAATCGTTTGGATCAGGCTTACATGTTGAACAGGGGAAATAAGTTAATTAGAGAGATCATTTTGCAACTGCGTCAAATCTTTCTTGTTGCTTGTTCATATGTAGTAAATCTTTTGTTGCCTCTATCGTCATTCTTAGAATTACATATAATTTGTTAGTTAACTGTTCATATACACAATATGTAGTTTAATTTGGTCCTTTGATTTGGCAAAGGCCTTGTCGGGGACCATGTCCTTGACTCCATGTGTACCGCTAAAAGGAGGCAGTGATGTAAGAACAACTTTGTAGTTTCAATATAATACTCCTCCGGTCCTTAATATAGGACCCAATTGTTGAGTTGGTTTTGGTCCTAAATATAAGATACACTTTTTATATTTATCAATTTTTTCTAAATTACTCCTATGGATACTCTTCAACCATAATCAAGTAGAAGAGGGAGCTGGGAGGTATTAAGAAAGATAATTATAATATTTTAGAAAAAACGTGTTACATTTCTTATAATAAACTAATTTACCTAACTTCCTTAATCTAATCAAATTAGCTAAATGGGTCTTATATTAAAGACCGGAGGAGTATTATTTATCTTTGATTTCAGTGTAAGCTAAACAACTGATTTGCTTGCTCAAATGGGTTTCCAACAAATACATTAAAAAAGAACGGAGGACTTCAGGGTGGCTTACAAATGCGCTATGGTGGATATTTGTAGCCTGAACTAGAATTGGATCCCCTAAATTTTAATAAAAGAGAAATAAACGGCCCATATAAGCTATATATACATGAAAATCATTTTCTTTTAATGAAAATAAAGGATATATATATATATATATCTCTCGATATATACACGTAATAAACCGAAGCTCATCAGAGTGAACCGGTGAGGCAATAATAAGTACTGCTAGATGTCTTTTGAATGATGCAGTAGTAATGCAATGCCATTTTTCAGAGAAAAGGCTAGAAACTAGTAACTCTTAAACATTAAAAAAAATCACGAAAAATACAAAAAACGGGACAAAAACGAAAAGCATACAATATATATAGAAGAAAGGCAAAAAAAATTCTTCTTATTTGAAGCTTATAACCATAATTAACGGTATTGTCTTTTTTTGGTGGAATAATTAAAGGCAAAATAATTTAGTTTGATGCTTATGGCCATTATTAATTATTACTACTACTGACATTATTATTATTATTATTATTATATTATTATTATTATTATTATTATTATTATTATTTATTATGTCACAGCAACTATACTCATACGAATTATTCTCTAATACTTACTTTCACATTATAATTCACTGCATGACTGAAACGTAATTTGTAAATTTCCGAATCAATTCCAGTTAAGGGAATTGAAATTGGAATTATGGCAGAGAGAGCTTTAAAGATTTTTCATGATTCAATTATCACAAACATCTGGAATTATAAATCATTAGATATGAGCCGGGGAGATCTTTGTTTCCATTATATACGAATCCCATCACAAGAAAAACATTTTATCCAAGTATGGATAAATTATTGATTTGCCTGATATACCAGAAGAATTCTAGGCGGCGTTCAAACTAGATTTTTCTTGAGAAAAAAATTAATTAAAGGAGACGTATCCTGCAAGATAAATATCATCTGTTAAAAATAGAGGTTGCAGAGATAAAGGAGGGGAGCAGGTGTTGCATATTGTTGGGAGACAGACAAACGTGATGAACTTATATATACACTGCACAGCTGATATTATATATATATATATATGTTATATATGTGTGTGTGTTCACATATGTGTGTGCATGCGTGGCTGTAATAAAACAACGATCGATATCGTAGTTTTCCGGAGGCAGCCTTCTAAACTTGTGATTATTAGGTACTGTTTGGTATAATGGAAATAGAACAAAGGGGAGGGGAGGGGAGGGACGGTTTTGAAATTTTAATAAAAAGAGGAAGTAATACGAAAGAATAATAAAAATTAATTAAAAACTTTTTTAATTTTTTAAATCGAGTTTATTAAATCCCCCCTCTCTTCTCATTTTCTCTCATACCAAACAGACCCTTACGCTATGTTTGGTACGGGATTTTGGAGGGGAGTTCCTTCATTTACATACGAGTTCAACGCTTTCGTTGATAACCTAATCTTGACCAAACACACACAACTCTGTCCACTCTACTTTTCCATCCTCTTTTACCCTAATAGGTCTTACCAATATTGACTTCTACCCAACTCTCTTATATTTATTGGATAATCCCAAAATTGCATAAAATGTTGCCTTATACAATTCTCTGCATTTTTCCAGTTAGGAAAAAAAGAATGGGAGGACTCGATCAAATTTCAAAAACAGACACAGATCTTTGTGAGATGATGACGCGCTTTTCAAAATAGGGCCTATAAAGATAACTAGTTGGACCTTTATCTTGATATTATCATGTATACGGTTCTATTAAAAACCCAAACGGGCCTATTATGATTGATGGGGTGATATCCATGAACGACCACGCAAGTCCCTGTAAATAGCCTGAACCTGTTCATATACAAGGCAATGTTCTCCTTCCACTCCACATATTTGAAATATGGTCCAACTTCAACTCTCCCACCTTGAGGTGGCCCAGAACCCACAGGCCCAGAAATCATCAGCAAATATTGACCACAGAGGGGTAGCAAAACGCGAGTGATATTTCAAGATGATCTTTTGGCCAACAGCTACTATACACAATGCACGTGCAGGTGTGAGGGTTTACCTATGAGTTTAAAATATACTACTCCTCCGGTCTTTATTATAAGACCTAATTTGACTTTTATTTGGTCCTAATTATAAGACCCAATCCATTTGTCTCTTATATTTATGCATTTTTTTCCAGAAAAATCCTTCTAATAATGATAGTTTTAGCAATATACTTAATTAGCAAGGATATTTAGGAATAACAACACTTATTATTATAAATAACCAACTTACTTACTTCCTTAATCTCCTCAAATAAGTCAATTGGGTCTTATAATTAGGAGGGAGGAGTACTTTTTATTCTTAATATAAAAACTATTTAACTAATTTGAATAGATTAAAAAAATTAGTTAATTTAGTTATTTATA